TTTTTTTTTTTTTTTTTTTTTTTTTTTTTTTTTTTTTTTTTTTTTTTTTAGAATCTGAAAGATGAACAGCAGACCAATTGCAAACTGTGTTCAAAGCCTGTCTATAAAATGGAGGAAATTATTGTTCAGTTTAAATCGGATAAATCTATCTACCATAAATCCTGCTTGCGATGCAAAGACTGCGGTAGACAATTAAAGTACGTAACTAAGGCTTATGTCTATAATTTCAAAGCTTCATGAACACTCACACACACCTTGACACCCCGCTAAACACTAAACAAGACTTTGACATAGCGTTAGACACATTTATCAAAAACATACAATAGGCACCCAATCTATCTCGCAATTCTGCCAGTTAATGATACAATGATACAGAATGTAAGCAATATATTCTTCACTTGACTGGAATCATTAACCTGAGAGCACATAGACCGGACACGTAGTGTAAAGCGTTTTGCACACTTATTTTCGAGCGTAGTCTCCCAGTCCACTTCGTATTTGCTCGGCTCTTTACATCGTCGGACTACGAAATTATACGAAAGCACAATCATTTCGCTTCATGCGCTCGACCGAGATGGTGAAATGAGAAACAAAAGACCCCTCTATGTCAAATTTTGTTCTTGCTCTCTCTATCTCTCTCTCTGCCCGTATGCGAAGATTTTGCTGCCTGTAGCAATTTTAAAGACCAGCATATTTGCATTTGGTTGACCTTGTGAAGTGTTTACATACATATGTATATACATTTGATTATGTGTACGCATGGGCTGCGATTCTCACAACTATGGGAAATCACTTGTAGAAGTTTTTGTATGCATACACATGTATGTGTGTGTGTCTACCTCAACTTTAATTTGCGTGAACGATTTTGAGCTCAAATTGAAGAGGCGCGCTTATATTTAAGTAGTTGACTAACTAAAGTGACAAGTGCACATGCACCTGTATATGTAAGTATATTCATTCTGATAGACAAACCCACGATCAGGTGCTTAAATATAAGTCAGTCTATGTGTTCTCTGGTTAGTGATATTATTTAACTTATGTTATTTAAGGAGTATCGATTATTGTTGAATAAATAATTTTTTTATTTATTCACTCCGTAGGTTTGATAATTATCAGAGTCACGAAGGAGATTTGTACTGCAGCGTACATTTAAAGCTGTAAGTACTTACCCGATGTTTCTTATAATAATATGTACAAAAAAACCTACAGCCAGCAAATAAGGCTTAGGTACACAACGGAAATCAGGGTATAATGGTTTTGTTGAAATGTATGTAACAGGCAAAAGGTATATATATTCTGGATCAGGGTGATGAGCTGAGCCGATTTAGCCTTGTCAGTTTGTCGGTACGTTTTATCGCGTCAATCTTAGACTATATGAGAGCTAGAGACTTGAATTTTTGTAAATGTCCGTCTATATAGCGCGGCTATCGAGTTTATCTTCAAAAATCGATAACTCAACCCGTTAAAAACTGTATCGAATATAAGCTATTTCCCTATATCTCCAAAATCTTTGGAGATAGAGTAGCCATATTTTAAAACAACAATCGGTATTCTGTAATGATATACGCGGACCTAGCAAAAAAAAAAAGTCTCTAGCACGTAGATCGTCGCGTTCTTACACACGCACGGGCAAGGCTGAATCGACTCAAGTCATCGCCCTGATCAGGAATATATATACTTTGTGGGGTCTGCCACGCTTCCTTCCTTCCCCGTTATACCCTGATTTCCTATTGGGTATAAAAATCGTGGTGTATATACGCAAAACTCATATCATATCATAAATCCATGATCAAATCGCACAGACTCTTTGCCCCTAAAGTCGTTCAACAGGCCGAAGAACCAAAGCAAAGCAAAACTGAGTTAATTATTCGTGAAAACCAACCAATTGAGCTGCCTCCGGATGTTGTTCGTGGTAAGTTGGGAAAGCTATATCATCTTTTTGGCTTGCAACGTTCTTACTGTTTAGCTGAGTCGTTGTGGCTTTGTCCGTCTGTCTGCCTGTTCGACTGTCCGTATGATTGATCGTGTCGATCTCAGAAGATATAAGAGCTAAAGAGCTGAAATTTTGCATGGATACAAGTTTATCATATTTACTCGATATTCTCATAACAGTGCCCATTGCAGTGCAGCCCAAGTGCAGTCGCTGCTAACTGCGCAGTTAGCAGAGCGCGTGGCTATGCGTACGTGTGGATGCATGTTTATGTAGGTCTGCATAAAAGAAGTGCAGAATGATTATAAGATCAGCTTATAGGGTTCAGGGTATCTCCTAGTCGGGCAGTCTCGACTAGAGCTTTCTTACTTGTAAATTAAACAAATTTTTTAATTTATTAATGTAAGCATCGGATAAGCCCGACCTAGGGCTTGATGAACTGCATCAATTGAACGTTCGTTCGAGATTTGAACTATTTGAGAATGTTGATCAAAACAAGCTTAGTGAGGACCAACTGATACTGAACCAACGTCCTGTCATTAATCGCAGTAAGTCAGTTCTAGCGAAGTATCGACCAAATAATGTCGATATTGAATGCGGAGCATCGAACGAAAGCGGCGATGAACCAGCTGAACAAAATGAGGATGTTGACTTGATACGCTCGAAAAAAAACACTCAAAAAGAGAGGCCTATTGGTCTGGGCGATGCCATGAATGACATCAAAACTAGATTCGAAAAGGGTACAATGCAGTCCAAGGAAGAACGCCGTGAAGAACGAAAGCAAGAAATCCAAAGCATACGTTCTCGCCTCTTCATGGGCAAACAGGCCAAAATCAAGGAAATGTATCAACAGGCAGTCGCCGAATCCGAACAGGCTATCACATCCATCGGAAAGCAACCGGATGTTGAGATTAGTAAAGCAGCTCGTTTCATTAAGGAGCGATTCGAAAAAGGAGAAATGTTTCACGATAAGAACATTGAGTCTACAACATCTAATTGCAGTAATGGTCATGGCTCAGGGCTGTCGGAGGATGCTGATGTTTTTGAATCTGGTAAGAGCTGAGTAAAGAAGTGGTTGGGACAATAGATAAGGGAAAATATCATACATTTTTTACATAATTAGCTATAAGTAAAAAGTCACGCAGCATCTTTATGGAACTAGACGCGAACGTGGCATCGAGTCCGCATTCCAAATACGAATTTCAAAGAAGCCAATCCATCCGTATTAACAAATGCCAGAGTCAAAATCGATTGCTTTCCGAGGTTAGTATGAATAAGTTTAATTGAGTTATATAACTTGTATTTTTGTTTGTATACTAGAACTCTGACATAGATGTGGTTAAATGTGATACAAAAGCGGAGGATATCAAAGTGACTACAGCCGAGCTAAGCCAGAAATTTAAATTTTTCGAAACGTATCGTCCTAACGATGGAGAGAAGCGTCAATTCCGCATAACACCACCTCGCGAAGGTGTTGTTAAAATGCCATCGCTCGATTCCGAAACTGATTCCGAGACGGGCAAGCAGAACTTTTACGACAATGTGCTACAAAAAACACAGACCACTTCGACAATGCTGAACAAGTTTCGAGAAATGGAGCAAAACAAATCAATTAAATCTAACTGCAGAAGTCCCAGGCCTCTTAAATGTTTTACGCCTCCGCCACTGGAAGATAGGCAGAACTTTAATGATAAATCCAACAGCGAAGAAGAGGACGAGGATGACGACGATGATGAGAATGAGTCCGACGATGATGACGAAATCGAACAAGAAATTGTAAACTTAAGTTCAACTAACAGAGATGAAGCGCTTAGAGAGGTAAGCAGTTATTAAGAAAAGTCACATTTGCAGTCGACTTTATTAGACTTTAATCGCTAACGGTTGGAGAACAGCTATAATTACTACAATATATATGGGAGATTTTTTATTTATTTATTTATTTCTTAAAGCTATTGACAAAAACGAGAGTCAATTTAAA